TCAGTAATAAAAATTAGTGAACTGATACATGCATACATGCAGCAGTATAAAAGTATCTTTGGTATGCACTGTTAAGTGAAAAAAAGCCAGATATCAAAGACCCTTCATATCATGTATCATGTGATTCCATTTATAAGAAACTCTAGAGAAGGCCTTTTTTTTTTTTTTTTTTTTTTTTTGACAGGCAGAGTGGATAGAGAGAGACAGAGAGAAAGGTCTTCCTTTTGCCGTTGGTTCACCCTCCAATGGCCGCCATGGCTGGCGCGCTGCGGCCGGCGCACCGCGCTAATCTGAAGGCAGGAGCCAGGTGCTTCTCCTGGTCTCCCATGAGGTGCAGGGCCCAAGCACTTGGGCCATCCTCCACTGCCTTCCCGGGCCACAGCAGAGAGCTGGCCTGGAAGAGGGGCAACCGGGACAGAATCCAGCCCCCCGACCGGGACTAGAACCCGGTGTGCCAGCGCCGCAAGGCGGAGGATTAGCCTATTGAGCCGCGGCGCCGGCCGAAGATAAGTCTTTAGTTAGAGAAAACATATCAGGGTTTGCCTAGGGTTAGGAGAAGGGATTGACTAGGAAGGATACAACAGAATCTTTGGCAGAGAATGGCAGGAGAGGGGATGGCCAAAATACTGTACATTGTAGTTTTACAGTTTTATACATTCGCCAAATTCATGGTGCTGTATATTTAAAATGAGTGCATTTTATTGTGTGTAAGTTATATCTAAAAGTTGAATTTTAAAAAAGGAACACTGTAGTTAAAGAATTTCTGGTTATAGGTAAAGAATTTCTAATAGTATCTAACAGATTTCTGTAATTTTTTAAAAGATATATTTATCTATTTGAAAGGCGGAGTTACAGAAAAGGGAGGCAGAGAAAGAAGTCTTCCATCTGCTGGTTCACTCCCCAAATGGCCACAACAATCAGAGCTGGGCTGATCTGAAGCCAGGAGCCAGGAGCTTCTGCTGGGTCTCCTGTGTGTATGCAGGGGCCCAAAGACTTGGGATCGGAAATGGAACAGCCAGGACTCAAAATGGCACCCATATGAGATGCCGACACTGCAGGCTGTGGATTTACCTGGTACGCTGAAGCACCGGCCCCTGAGATTTCCGTAATTTTAAATAAGTTCATATTACTCAAAAATATCTCTAGTAGTAATACTCAAAATTAAGGCTTTGTTTTCCAGCAGATATTTGTGGACATATAGATATGAAACTGGTTGCTTAATCTTTTTTTAGCTTTCAGGATGTTTCATATTTATGTAACCACTTTGAAGGATATTTAGGAGTTTTTTTAACTGTTAAATCCCAATATGTTAAGAAGGGATTTAATTGTCATGTGATTGGAGTAGTGTACTTTTTAATATCCTTTCAGCTGCAAGTAATAAAAACAAACTAAAATGCCTTATACAGTAGGTATTTGTTTTCTCATTTAATAAAGTTTCTGGGGGCCAGCGCTGTGGTGCAGCAGGTTAACACCTTGGCCTGAAGCGTTGGCATCCCATATGGGCGCCAGTTCGAGACCCAGCTGCTCCACTTACAATCCAGCTCTCTGGTATGGCTTGGAAAAGCTGTAGAAGATGGCCGAAGTGCTTGGGCCCCCTGCACTACGTGGGAGACCTGGAAGAAGCTCCTGGCTTCTGGCTTCGGATTGGTGCAGCTCCCACTATTGCTGCCAACTGGGGAGTGAACCAGTGGGTGGAAGACCTCTCTGTCTCTATCTCTCTCTCTCTCTGTTTGCCTCTCTCTTTCTCTCCCCCCCCCCACCACTACCCCCTCTCCCTCTGTCCCTCTTTGCCTCTCCTCTCTCTGTGTAACATAGACTCTTTCTATGTTAGTATTTATAGACACATTTTAAATTAATAGTATAGAGCTGAAATCGTTTTTTAACTTTTATTTAATAAATATAAATTTCCAAAGTACAACTTTTGATTTATAGCGGCTTTTCTCCCCATAACCTCCCTCCCACCTGCAATCATCCCATCTCCCATTCCCTCTCTCATCCCATTCTTCATCATGATTATTCCTTTTCAATTATCTTTATATACAGAAGATCAACTTAGTATATACTAAGTAAAGATTTCAACAGTTTGCACCCACAAAGATACACAAAGTATACAGTACTGTTTGGGTAGTAGTTTTACCTTTAATTCGCACAGTACAACACATTAAGGACAGAGGTCCTACATGGGGAGCAGGTGCACAGTGACTCCCATTGTTGATTTAACAATTGACACTCTTATTTATTACGTCAGTAATCACCCAAGGCTCTTGTCATGAGCTTCCAAAGCTATGGAAGCCTCTTGGGTTCGCCAGCTCCGATCTTGTTTAGACAAGGCCATAGTCAAAGTGGAAGTTCTCTCCTCCCTTCAGAGAAAGGTACCTCCTTCTTTGATGAGCCATTCTTTTTGCTGGGATCTCACAGAGATCTTTCTTTTAGGTGGTTTGTTTGTTTGTTTGTTTGTTTTTTTGCCACAGTGTCTTGGCTTTCCATGCCTCCGAAACTCTCCTCTCATGGGCTTTTTAGCCAGATCCAAATGCCTTAAGGTAGAGCTGAAATTGTAAATTTCCTGTCTCAGAATTTATGAGACTCACCTATTTCCCTTTGATGTTAAAGGGAATTAATGAAATCTAATTAGTACTTCTTAGAACCTAAATAGAATAATGCAGATTTTATAATATTAATAAACCTATGTGCCATTCACATTGGTAGTTTGATACAGTGGGTAAAGAGATAAGTTAAGCAGAACACTTTTGAGGAATGTATTGCCATTATTTGAGGGGTGGGAGTGAAGGGTGGGGTTGGGAATTAGGCCAGTAAGCAAAAAATAGGATTGAAAATGGAATAAAATGAGAGCTCCATGGGAAAATCTCACCAAAGTTAAGTTGCTGTTGTGTTTAAAGATTTTTTGCTTTGTTTATAGAGGGGGGAAATGCTCCCATCAGCTGGTTCACTAACCAAAGGCCCACAAGGAAATGGGGTAGGAGCCTGACCAGGAGCTGAGAACTCAGTGATGCAGGTCCCTGACGTGGGTGACTAGAACATAACCACTTGAGCCACCACCACTGCCTTCCAGGGTCTGCATTGGCAGGAAGCTAGAACAGGAGCTGGAGCAGGGATTTGGACCTGGTGTTCTGACAGTCCACTGTGGAGCATGAGGGTCATTACTGCCATCCTAATTGCTAGGCCATATATCCACCCCCTTAAAATCATTGATGCAGTTTTAAGCTAAAAGTTAACGTTACCAAGTACAGGGAAAGCCTGAATGGGAAAGTAACATTTGTTGAGACCATCACTGAATGGATAAGATATTAGTCAGTGGAGATGGGGGAAGAGTTTAAACAGAGATCTTCTTAGGAGGGAAAAAAACCCACAAAAATGGAAAAGCACTAGGCATATGTATGGGGAAGCAGTATTTCTTAAGTATGTATGAACATAAGTATGAGAAGAGAGTAAAGAGATTAAGTTGGAAAGGTTGGAAAGATTGACTGGCTTAAAATTTGTTAAGCATTGGGGTTACATATATTGATAGTGAAGGGAAAAGGTATAGATCTACTTTTTTTTTTTTTTTTGACAGGCAGAGTGGACAGTGAGAGAGAGAGAGAGAGAGAAAGGTCTTCCTTTGCCGTTGGTTCACCCTCCAATGACCACCGCGGGCAGCGCGCTGCGGCCGGCGCACCGTGCTGATCCGATGGCAGGAGCCAGGTACTTCTCCTGGTCTCCCATGGGGTGCAGGGCCCAACTACTTGGGCCATCCTCCCCTGCACACCCGAGCCACAGCAGAGAGCTGGCCTGGAAGAGGGGCAACCGGGACAGAATCCGGCGCCCCAACCGGGACTAGAACCCGGTGTGCCAGCGCCGCAAGGCAGAGGATTAACCTATTGAGCCTCGGCGCCAGCCAGATCTACTTTTCTGTATGGTAGTCACTAACCACATAGAGCTGTTGAACACTTGAAATGTGTCTAGTCCAAATTAACTGGATTTCTAAGACTTATTTTTAACAAGAGTATGAAATATTTAAACATTTCAAAATTGATTACATGTTGAAATATACTGTAGAAAATAACTGTAGATTACATGTTGAAATATACTGGCATTGTGGTATAACAGGTAAAGCCACCACCTGTGATGCTGGCCTCCCATATGGGTGCCAGTTTGAGGCCCAGCTGCTCCATTTCCAATCCAGCTCCCTGCTAATGGCCTGGGGAAAGCAGTGGAAGATGGCACAAATACTTGGATCCCTGCCACCCACTGGGAGACCAGGTGATGCTCCTGACTCCTGGCTTCAGCCTGGCACAGCCCTGACCATTGCAGCCATTTGGAGAGTGAACCAGCAGATGGAAGACCTTTCTGTCTCTCCCTCTCTCTGCCTATCAAGTAAATAAATAAAATGTTAAATATATATATAGATATATTTTAGATATATTGTGTAAGATAAAATATAGTAAACTTTACCTGTTTCTTTGTACTTCTTTAATGTGGCTACGAGAAAACTTTGTTGTGTGTCTTTCATTTGTGATTTAGAATAGATCTGGTATACATAGAAAGAATTCGACAGCATTTGCTAGTATTCCCTATATATGCCAGATTGTCTAGAACTTGCAGTAAAGTTATTCTTCATAGTAAACCTTATAAAGATAGGTGATACTTTTTCAGGTAATGGGTGTAGAGTAGTTAAGCAGCATACCTGAAATTCACTTCTCTGCTAAGTCAAAAGCCAGGATTCACATTTAGACCTCTCCAGCTTCAGTGCCCATTTTTTTCTCAATACAGCATGTTGCCATTGGACTGTTAAAAGTGGTTGAGTTGGAGAATGATGATTCAATTTAACAAAATTGAAGTAAAGATAAATGAATGGAAGATTTCATTTTCAGCTGTCTAGTTTTTTTATTGTCTTGTAAATGTTACAATGTGGGGGAGAGGAAGATGCCTTGTTGAAAACAACCTTTTGAATTTTTTTCGTATATTCTGTATGTTAACTGCTTCTCAAAATGTTTGCTTTATAGCTTCTGTAGATTTTATAATGGGCTGCATTAAAAGTAAAGAAAACAAAACTCCAGCCATTAAATACAGAACTGAAAACACTCCAGAGCCTGTCAGTACAAGTGCCAGCAATTATGGAGCAGATCACACTGCAGGGACACCATCGTCTTCTGCAAAGGGAGCATCGGTTAATTTCAGCAGTCTTTCCATAACACCATTTGGAGGATCCTCAGGGGTGACTCCTTTTGGAGGAGCTTCTTCCTCATTCTCAGTGGTGCCAAGTTCATATCCTACTGGTTTAACAGGTGAGATTTAAGAGGAAAATCATGCTGTTTGAGACTATAACCTTGGGCAATACATACTCAATGTTTGGTAAGAAAGATATCTTACCAAAGGGCTCTTCAAATAATTGAGTGTTTGAATTAAAGTCTAACCTAGAAATGAAAGTCTTTACTGTATACTTTGAGATGGTTTTGAGACATTTGATAATAATATGTGGTGACTAGGTACTGCGTTATAGCATTAATTATTTCATTAATTTATTCAAGTAATTATTGAGCATTTACTGTGTGGCAGGCACTGGGAATATAAAGATTAAAAATAAACACCGGATTCTGTCCCGGTTGCCCCTCTTCCAGGCCAGCTCTCTGCTGTGGCCCGGGAGTGCAGGGGAGGATGGCCCGAGCACTTGGGTCCTGCACCCCATGGGAGACCAGGATAAGCACTTGGCTCCTGCCATTGGATCGGCGCAGCGCGCCGGCCACAGCGCACCGGCCACGGCGGCCATTGGAGGGTGAACCAATGGCAAAGGAAGACCTTTCTCTCTCTCTCTCTCTCTCACTCTCTCACTGTCCACTCTGCCTGTCCAAAATAAATAAATAAATAAATACTTTCTTCAAGAATCTTACGTGGGGCCCAGTGCTATGGTATAGTGGGTAAAGCTGCCACCTGCAGTACCACCATCCCATGTGAGTGCCAGTTCAAGTCCCAGCTTCACCACTTTCCATCCAGCTCCCTATAATGTGCCTGGGAAAGCAGTAGAAGATGGTCCAAGTCCTTGGGCCCCTGTACCTACATGGGAGACCCAGAAGAAACTCTGGTTCCTGGCTTCAGATCAGCCAGCTTCAGCCATTGCAGCCATTTGCGGAGTGAACCAGTGAATGGAACTTCTTGATATCTATCTATGTGTCTCCCTGTCTCCTTCTCTCCCTCTCTCCCTTTCTCCGTCTCCCGCTCCCTTTCCCTCTCTCTCTGCCTAAATCTTTTTTAAAACAATTTTTTTAAATAAAAGGATTTTGAGGCCGGTGTGGTGGCACAGTGGGTTAAAGCCCTGGCCTGAAGCACTGGTATTCCATATGGTACCGGTTCGAGTCCTGGCTGCTCCTTTTCCAATCCAGATCTCTTCTATGGCCTGTGAAAGCAGTACAAGATGGCCCAACCTGCACCCACGTGGGAGACCTGGAAGAAGCTCCTGGCTCCTGGCTTCGGATCGGCGCAGCTCCGGCCCTTATGGCCATCTAGGGAGTGAACCAGTGGATGGAAGACCTCTCTCCCTGTCTCTACCTCTCTCTGTAACTCTGTCTTTCAGATAAATAAAATAAATCTTTTGCAAAAAAGAATTTAAAAAAAAAATAAAGAGATCTTACAACCTCTCAAATGTGTAAAGCACTATCTAGGGATAAAGTATTCTGGTACTTAATAAATATGAATCAAGTGGCAGTATAGTATTGATAATACATTGTTTCTATCAGATATTACTAATTTTTTAGAACTCTTGAGGCTCAGGTTAAGTGATTTTTTTCCAGAGTCCTCGATAGTAAATAGAAGAGCCCAGATTTAATGTCCTATTCCAGAACTCCATTTATTACATTATCATGTTCTTTCAGAAGTAGCAAGAAGTAGCTGAGCATGTTTCTTGTAGATAGAATGCTCTAAAAAATAGATTTAGAACTTTTTAAAAGGAGAAAGAAACTAGCTCCTTTGTAATGGGTTCCATCTTAGAGTGCTAGTCCCTTGAAGTAACAAGACACAGCTGGCTTCAAAAGGTAGGCTGCGCTCCAAGATTCCTCGATACAGCAGTTCCACGCTGTCAACAAGGACCTGAGTTTCTTTCATTCTCTCCTGCAGCTCTTGGAGTAGCCACTCTATCCTGAGGCACAAACAGCTACCGACATCAAATTGAGTAACATACGTTCTTACTAACAACCAGTGGTGGCAAAAGAAAAATCTCTTCTACAAGCTGGGGCTTTAAATCTGTCTCTTCCGTCTTCTCTCCGTTGGAGAGTTCTGAACATCAAAGAGTCAATTGCCATCTTTTTATTTTTTTTCTTTTAAGATTTATTTTTATTTGTTTGAAAGGCAGAGTTACAGAGAGAAGGAGTGAGAGAGATCCCTGCCTCCCCCCCACCACCACCCCGGTTAACCTCCCAAATGGCCGCAATGGCTGAGGCTGTGACAGGCTGAAGCCAACAGCCCAGAGCTTCTTCCAGGTCTCCCACGTCGGTGCAGGGGCCCAAGCACGTGGGCCATCTTCCACCTCTTTTCCAGGCACATGAGCAGAGCTCTGGATCGGAAATGGAATAGCTAGGTTCGAACTGGTGCCCATATGAGGTGCTGGTGTCGCAGGCAGTGGCTTAACCCCAATGCCACAATGTGGGCCTCCAATTACCATCTTAATATTATCCTCATAACTCGGTACTTCATTAATCTATGGCTGTGATGGTAGTTCTCCGTTACTAGCAAAGGTGCAAATTATTTTCAGGATCATATGTTTGGAAAAGAAAGTAATTCAAAATGGTTAAACCTTGATACCTAAAGACATTTTAGTTAAAGCAGTTTACTTATTTGAATTACTGAAATATTCCATTCACAAGTGTTCATTTATTAACTCAGCAAATATGCATTTTCTGTATACCAGGGATAGAGAGGTGAGCACCACAGATTTCTACCCTGATGAGCTTTACATAATAATGAGAGTTTGATGGTAGTTGGTGAATAAACAACTAAAAAGGATGTTTTTTTTTTTTTTAAGATTTATTGATTTATTTGAAAGAGTTACAGAGAGAGGGAATGAGAGAGAGATCTATCTGCTGGTTTATTCTCCAGATGGCCACAGTTACCAGTAATGGCTGAAGCCAGGAGCCAGTAGTTTCTTCCAGGTCTCCCACATGAGTGACAAGGGGCCCAAACACTTGGGCCATTTTCTGCTGCCTTCCCAGGCACATTAGCAGGGAGCTGGATCGGAAGTGGAGCAGCTGGAATTTGAACCGGTGCCCATATGGGGTGCAGATGTTGCAAGTGGCGGCTTTACCTGCTTCCCCACAACACCGGCTCCTGATCATTGGTTTTTAACTGCTGTGCAGGAACTGCCTGGAATGATTGTAGTTGATCAAGGAAAGCCTTTTAAAGAATAAACATTTGAGCTAAAATTTGATGAAAATGACTTAAATGTGAACAGAGCTGTGAAAAGAGCTTTTCAGGGAGAAAGAATAACAGTTTCAGAGTTCAAGAAATATACATGGCCTTGGACATTTTGAGAAATAGCAGAGAGGCCATTGTTGGCAGAAGAGAGGATTGTATGATACAGGGTTGGAGTTAGGCAACAGACTATAATTACTCAGAACTTCTTAGTCTCTGGTCCCTAAGGTGTTGAGTTTTATTCAAAGATAGATAGAAACTGTAATAGAGATTTATATGCACAACTGAATTGTTTTTTTCTCAAAAACTCACACTGGCAGCTGTGTGGAGAAGCAGTGGAAGAAAGCAATGAAGAAGTAGATCAGGAGGCTAGTTCTCTCAGTAGTCCCAACAGTCCACTGAGAGCCGATAAGGTATTGGGTTAGGGGGGCATTGATGAAAATGGGAAGTCAATATAAACAGTATTTTAGACATAGAACTGATAGTAATGGACTTGGCTTAAGTACCTGATTGGATAGTAGTGCTGTTTGCTTAAATAGAAAGAATTAGGTAAATATAGGTTAGAAGAGAAAAATCAGGAGCTTCATTTTGAATGTAATCAATTTTAAATGCCTATTAGACATTCAAGAAGAAATGTCAGATAGTAATTGCAGAAACTAAGGGGGAAAGCCAGATAAATGAGATAATATTGTGTATGATTGTATTCTTACCTTTTTTTGTTACTTTGTATTGGTTTTATACTGTTCTATATTTCACAGCATTTGCACTTATTAATCTATTTGTAGTTTTACAAATACTGGTGATGTATTGAGAGTTAATAATTGATCTGGCAAGTGATTGGAATTATATTGAGCAGAGTATATCCTTATTCAAGTTAACAGTGTTTATGAAAAGGTATACAATTTCAGTGAGAAGTAATGTGTTCAAGAGATCCCTTGTACAGCATGATTACTATAGTTAATAACAATATTGTATTCTTGAAAATTCCTGAAAGTAGTTCTTAAGTGTTTTCACCACAAAATAAGTATGTGAGGCAATACATAATGTTAATTAGCTTGATTTAGCCATTCTACAATGTATATGTATTTCAGCATATCATTGTTGTATGTAATATATATATTTCTTTTTTTAAGAATTGATCATTATTGCCGGCGCCGCGGCTCACTAGGCTAATCCTCCGCCTTGTGGTGCTGGCACACCGGGTTCTAGTCCCGGTTGGGGCGCCGGATTCTGTCCCGGTTGCCCCTCTTCCAGGCTAGCTCTCTGCTGTGGCCAGGGAGTGCAGTGGAGGATGGCCCAAGTGCTTGGGCCCTGCACCCCATGGGAGACAAGGAGAAGTACCTGGCTCCTGCCATCGGATCAGCGCAGTGCGCCAGCCGCAGCGCGCCGGCCACAGCAGCCATTGGAGGGTGAACCAACAGCAAAGGAAGACCTTTCTCTCTGTCTCTCTCTCACACTGTCCACTCTGCCTGTAAAAAAAAAAAAAAAAAAAAAAAAAAAGAATTGATCATTACAGTAAGAACGAGAGTGTGCATATTGTATACATCTGTTTGGATTGCAGATAATGGTTTGGTTGTTACGTGTGCCAATCTCTTAAGCATCTACACATAGTGCTAAATATGACATAGTTATTTTTGGAATTTATAATGTGTAATTCATACAGGCCATACCATTTAATTTGTAAGGTAAACATGACCTTCTAAAAAGTATTAAGTATGTATTAAATAATAAAACACTGGTTTTTAACTGTCATGATTAGACACCCATTGTTTATTGAGATCAGTGCCAGTAGTACTAATCAGTGGTTTTTCTCACAAAGCAGTGATTTGAAATTTGATTGTCTTTTCAAGCCAGAGATGTCGCTATCATGAGTTAAAATTAAGTTTGTTTCTCTGAGTCTATAGCGTTTGTAGTTTCATGGAATATCTTAAGAGAATAGCTTATTCGAGCTGCCCAAAGCCCTGACTTCTAAAAATAGATTCTGGAGGCTAGGGGGAAAACTGCCCTTAACCTTTTTTGTTGGCAATAGTTCTATAATTCTCTTTTATTAGTTTGTTTATATAATTTACCTTGGTCTTCTTTTCCTCTGATAGGTGGTGTTACTATATTTGTGGCCTTATATGATTATGAAGCTAGAACTACAGAAGACCTCTCATTTAAGAAGGGTGAACGGTTTCAAATAATTAACAATACGTAAGTTCTACAAATATTTTGTGAAGGAGAAATATTGTTAGAAACCTGGTCTTTACACTGAAACCACTGAGATGAGAGTGGTGTAGGGGTGTAGGGCGTGGGTCTCTGCCACTGGGCTGGGTGATGAATTTGGCTTCTTTAGAAACATGGCCAAAAGTTAATTTTACAAATCATGCTGCTGTGGTTGAACCATAAACATTAGAGATTTTAGAATAAAGAGCTATAGAGGGTTTATGCAAGTATGTATTTTACAAAAATCTTTATAAAGACAGCTGTGTGCTTCTGTTTATCTAAATGCCAGATGATTTAAAGATCTTTCTCCTAAAAAAGCAAAGGGAGAAAACATTGAAGAAACCTTTGTATCTCAAACTGAGCAGATTAAGTTGCTTTTTCCTTATGTGACTCTTAGCCATTTTGTCATTTAGTGGTCCACCATAGAGAATGTGATGCTTACTGTGGAAAATGGATCCCGTAATTTCATTAGCAAGCATAACAACCACGTTGTAACTTCTCAAAGTATATACTTATGGTTTCTTTGCTTTCAGTCATGTTTTCTACCATCCTTGTTCCTATTTGCTAGCAGTTCCAGATCATAAAACATGGTCATGCCTTTCTGCTTTAAAATCCTTCAGTAGCTATTGGTTACCATTGTTATAAAAAAAAAAAAAACAGCAATAATAAGTCATCATTCATATTGAGAATTTTCTGTGCTCTTACCCCTTTATCACGTCACCACCAAGCCATTCAGAATTACGTACATTTTTCTAAGTAGCAGTTTCTCACCCTGCCCATGCCTTCACATATGCATTTTCTTTTTTCTGGAGTGACTTTTCATCTCTTTATTTCTTCCCTTTGTCTGGCTAACCCTACTCATCCTTCAAAATGCAGTTCATATATTATTTTTCAAGGATGCTTTTCCTTTCATGCTTCCTCTCCTGCCTGGCCTGGACCCTGTCCCTTGCTGGATTAGGTATTCACATAGCACTCTGAGCATGCCTCTTTCATAACTCTTATCACATTTTAAAATGTAATTTTAAATTACATGTCTGTTGTTTGTCACTTTTTTAGACCAGTGGTTCTTAGCCTGGGGCAGAGTTGCCCAGTAGATACTTGGCAGTATGTGAAGATGTACTTGGTTGTCACCACCAGGGTGCTATTACATTTAGCAGATGGAGGGCAAGGATATTGATAAACATCCTGTTATACAAATAACAACTCCTCCCCCACGCAGCAAAGAATTATCAAACCCAAAGTGTCAGTATTGCCCAAGTTGCAAAACCTTGCTGTAGGCTTTGATTTCCTTAAGGTCAAGGACTGTCTGTTTACCTTTATTTTCAGCACAATCATTGTAAAGTCTGTCACTTGAAAGTTATTTAGTAAATTGCGGATGAATCAATGAAGTCTTAGCAGGATCAGATACAAAATTTTCAAGTTTGTATATCTGAAAGTACTTCATAAACCACAAACCAAGTATATGAGTTTTTAAATATTTGAATTATGAAAGGGTTTTCCATTTCACTTTTCAGAGAACGAATTCACTTTGGACACAAAAAATTTCAATTTAAACAATACATTTCATCTTCAGTAGTGAATTCCATATACTTATATCTTCCTTGTTAGAGATTGTTAATATTTATTCTCAACATTAATTTTGGAAATGTTAGCGTTTTTTATTGCAAACCACATATATATGTTCTCATGTTCTGAATTGTAATTTAATTTAAACCTATGAGATAGCATTTTTATAAATATACATAAGTCTAGAAATCCCATTTTTTAATTGTTACTGCTCATTCTTCATTGTTTGACTGCATGATTTTTCCCCCTAAAATTACCAAACGAGAACACTAGAATTTTACATAGTGTTAAACAGAACAGCATTTGACAACAGCAAAAAATGAATGAAGTACTGACACATGCTAAAACATAGATAAACTTTGAAGAAATTATGCTAAATGAAAGAAGCCAGTCACAAAAGACTATGTATTTATTTCTTAGAAATCCCCACAATAGGCATATCCAAAGAGTTAGAGCAGATTAATGGCTGCCAGTGGTGTAGTTGACTGCTAATGGGTATGGCGTTTATTTTGGGGGTGATGAAAATTTTCTAAAATTGATTGTGATAATGGTCGCACAACTCTAGAAGTATATTGAAAACCACTAAATTGTTCATCTTTTAAATGGAGAGTTTTAAGGTAAGTAAATTATATCAGTAGAACTGTTTTAAAATTTCAGTCAATACCGAATGATTTGAGAGATTAGACTCCAAAATTGTTTTATTCACTATAATTTATTGTCTTAGTTAAAAGAATTACTTAAAAAAGAGATCTTGCAACTAAAAGTATGTGATATTTTGGAGGCTTTTGTGCCTTGACTTAATCGTATTCTCTTAATTCATGTAACCCATTTTTTAATTAAGTCTTGATCAAATGAATGCATAAATAAAGCATGAAAGTACTAGCTCTTATTTACTTTAAATACAACACAGTGCAATATATTGTACATTGGACAGTATTCTACCCTCTGGTGATTGTTATTTTATGTACTGCAGGGAAGGAGACTGGTGGGAAGCACGATCCATTGCTACAGGAAAGAATGGCTATATCCCTAGCAATTATGTAGCGCCTGCGGATTCCATTCAGGCGGAAGAGTATGGCAATGCTTCATATTTTATTAATTATTTTGATTTTTAAAATGCTTTAATGTACTTTCTAGTAGCCACAAATTTACACACACACAGTTACATACCAGTCTTAATGCAGCTAATGTATCATTAATAGATGTTACTTGAAAATTAATAATTAATCAGTGTTTGCTTAGAGTTGGATCATAAGTGAAACCACATCAGTCATACTATGTCATGCCCAGTTTCCTTCATTTTCCCACTTTTTTTTAAATATCATATCAACCCTTTTCATATTATACAGACTCATTTCAAAAATTAACTTCAATCAGTAATACTGTATCAGTGTTATCTTTTTTATTTAGGTTATCTGCATTGTTCTTATATAGGAAAGCGTCCTTGTCTTTCAGAAAGCATACAGAAGTATTTAGGGATAATGATTCAGCATGTTTGTAATATAGTCTCTTTTTTAAAAAATTTATTTATTTATTCGAAAGGCAGAGTTAGAGAGAGACAAAGGCAGAGAGAGAGAGAAGTCTTCCATCCACTGGTCCACTCCCCAGATGGCCTCAATGGCCAGAGCTGAGCTGATCACAACCAGGAGCAGGAGCTTCTTCTAGGTTTCCCACATAGCTGCAGGGGCCCAAGGACTTGGACCATCTTCTGCTGCTCAGGCCATAGCAGAGAGCTGGATTGGATGTGAAACAACCAGGACTTGAACCGGTGCCCATATGTGATGCCGGCACTGCAGACGGCAGCTTTACCCACCATGCCATAGCCCCAGCCCCATAATTTATTCTTAATCAATTCACAGGGAAAATGTATACATATATACATGTATCTATAAATACATATATACATATGCACACAGAATGGAGAGAGAGTGATAAAACAAAATGTTAACAGCTGGGCAACTTGGTTGTATTGCAGATGGGAGTTTTATGTACTATTGTATCTTTTTAAAAAGGGATATGTTATTTTTTTCTATTTTTAAAGATTTATTTATTTATTTGAAAGGCATAGTCGCAGAGAGAGTGAGAGAGATCTTCCATCTGCTGGTTCACCCCCCAGATGGCCACAATAGCTGGAGCTAGGCCAGTCTGAAGCCAAGAGCCAGGAGCTTCTTCCACGTTGGTGCAGGGGCCCAAGGACTTAGACTAACCTCTGCTGCTTTCCCAGTCCACAGCAGAGAGCTGGATAGGAAGGACAGCCAGTACTGGAACCAGTGCCCATATGGAATGCCTGCATTGCAGGAGGCGGCTTTACCTACTGTGCCACAATGCTGGCCCCGACATATTACTTTTTTTTTTTTTTAGAGATTTATTTATTTATTTGAAAGTTAGAGTTACACAGAGAAAGAAGGAGCAGCAGAGAGAGAGAGAGAGAGAGAGAGAAAGTGAAAGAGGTCTTCCATCCACTGGTTCAGTCCCCAGTTGGTTGCAATGACCGGAGTTTTGCCGATCTGAAGCCAGGAGCCAGGAGCTTCTTCCAGGTCCCCTACATGGGTGCAGGGGCCCAAGAACTTGGGCCATCTTGTACTGCTTTCCCAGTCCATAGCAGAGAGCTGGATTGGAAGTAGAGCATCCGGGATACTAATTAGCCCATATGGGATGCTGGCACTGCAGGCAGCAGCTTTACTGCTGCGCCGGCCCCCACAACATATTACTTTTAAGTCAAACCAGTTTATCGAAGATTCATAAATGGCACTTCATTTTCACATTGCAATACTTAACTTACGGCCTTGCTTTTAGCAGATACTCTATGAGTAACTGTTCTATTGTGGCACTTGTAACTTTCAGTTTTGTTCTTTTGTCTGTCTTCTCCAGAATTCTGTGAGCTATTTCATGGCAGACTGTCATTTTTATTCACAAACTTTAAAATAAAAACCCACACAAATTTAGAGTTCCTAATACTTGGATATGAAATACTTGTATCTTACTTCCGGTGATCACACTGTTTCTAGAGAACTACTTATGTTCTTCTTACTGTTGTCCTAATACTTCGACCTGTGACAGAAAGGATCTGTCTGTTGTGTACTGCTTTTCTGTCACCATTTACTGCTCCTGTGACTGCCAAGTGGAGTTGAAGAGACATGTTGAGTAGTCTGTATATAGCATATACTCCAGCCCTAGTATTTGTAGTGTTCCTTTATGTTCTCCCGTATTTAAACCTCTGTTTGTCATCATCCATATCCTAATGAATTCCTATTGATACTTGTATATAGTTTTTCTAAACCTCTTACCTTTCCAACTCAAAATACTGTCAATATTTTTCAGATGGTATTTTGGAAAAATGGGGAGAAAAGATGCTGAAAGATTACTTCTGAATCCTGGGAATCAACGAGGTATATTTTTAGTAAGAGAGAGTGAAACTACTAAAGGTATGAATATTATTATATCTATATATAATACATTATTATAGTAATATAAGTATAAAAGTTTGCTTGAGCAGAATTTTTTTTTTTTTTATCTTTTATTTAATGAATATAAATTTCCAAAGTACGACTCATGGGTTACAATGGCTTTCCCCCCCCTACCGTCCCTCCCACCCACAACCCTCCCCTTTCCCACTCCCTCTCCCCTTCCATTCACATCAAGATTCATTTTCGATTCTCTTAATATACAGAAGATCAGCTTAGTATACCTTAAGTAAGGATTTCAACAGTTTGTTCCCACACAGAAACATAAAGTGAAAAATAATAGATGATTTTTTTTTAAATCATGATGAAATCAGATTAGACCTATTGTCATGTTTAATCCCAGTGAGAGTCAAGTTGGGAATTGATAATTTCTTTTTTTTTTTTTTTTTACAGAAGATCAGTTTAGTGTACATTAAGTAAAGATTTCAATCGTTTGCACCCCCATAGAAACACAAAGTGAAATATACTGTTTGAGTACTCTTTATAGCATTAAGCCTCAGTGTACGGCACATTAAGGACAGAGATCCTACATGAGGAGTAAGTGCACAGTGACTCCTGTTGTTGACTTTACAAATTGACACTCCTGTTTATGGCATCAGTAATCTCCCTATGCACCAGTCATGAGTTTCCAAGGCTATGGAAGCCCCTTGAGTTCTCCGACTCTTATCTTGTTTAGACAAGGTCATAGTCAAAGTGGAGGTTCTCTCCTCCCTTCAGAGAAAGGCACCTCCCTCTTTGAAGACCTGTTCTTTCCACTGGGATCTCACTCACAGAGATCTTTTTGCCAGAGTGCCTTGGCTTTCCATGCCTGAAATACTCTCATGGGTTTTTCAGCCAGATCCGAGTGCCTTTAGGGCTGATTCTGAGGCCAGAGTGCTATTTAGGACATCCGCCATTCTATGAGTCTGCTGAGTATCTCACTTCCCATGTTGGATCACTCTCCCCTTTGTTTATTCTATCGGTTAGTGTTAGCAGATACTAGACTTGTTTATGTGCTCCCTTTGACTCTTAGTCCTTTCATTATGATCAATTGTGAACTGAAATTGATCACTTGGAATAGTGAGATGGCATTGGCACATGCCACCTTGATGGGATTGAATTGGAATCCCCTGGTATGTTTCCAACTCTACCAATTGGGGCAAGTCAGCCCGAGCATGCCCCAAATTATACATCTCTTCCCTCTCTTATTCCCACTTTTATGTTTAACAGGGATCACATTTCAGTTAATTTTCAACACTTAAGAATAACTGTGTGATAATTACAGAATTAAACCAGACATATTAAGTAGAACAGACAAAAAAAAATACTATGAGGGATAATATATTAAGTTGTCCATTAGCAGTCAGGGCTATGCTGATCAAGTCACCATTTCCCATAGTGTCCATTTCACTTCAGGAGGTTTCCTTTTTGGTGTTCAGTCAGTTGTCACCGATCAGGGAGAACATATGGTATTTGTCCCTTTGGGACTGGCTTAATTCACTCAGCATGATGTGTTCCAGATTCCTCCATTTTGTTGCAAATGACTGGATTTCGTTGTTTCTTACTGCGGTATAGTATTCTAAAGAATACATATCCCATAATTTCTTTATCCAGTCTACCGTTGATGGGCATTTAGGTTGGTTCCAGGTCTTGGCTATTGTGAATTGTGCTGCAATAAACATTAGGGTGCAGACCGCTTTTTTCTTTATCAATTTAAACTCCTTTGGGTAAATTCCAAGGAGTGGGATGGCTGGGTCGAACGGTAGGGTTATCTTCAGGTTTCTGAGGAATCTCCAGACTGACTTCCATAGTGGCTTGACCAGTTTGCATTCCCACCAACAGTGGGTTAGTGTCCCTTTTTCCCCACATCCTCGCCAGCATCTGTTGTTGGTAGATTTCTGTATGTGAGCCATTCTAACCGGGGTGAGGTGAAACCTCATTGTGGTTTTGATTTGCATTTCCCTGATTGCTAGTGACCTTGAACATTTTTTCATGTGCCTGTTGGCCATTTGGATTTCCTCTTTTGAAAAATGTCTATTGAAGTCCTTGGCCCATCTCTTAAGTGGGTTGTTGGTTTTGTTTTTGTGGAGTTTCTTGATCTCTTTGTAGATTCTGGTTATTAACCCTTTATCTGTTGCATAGTTTGCAAATATTTTTTCCCATTCTGTTGGTTGTCTCTTCACTCTCCTGACTGTTTCTTTTGCAGTACAGAAACTTCTCAATTTGATGCAATCCCAATAGTTGATTTTGGCTTTGACTGTCTGGCTCCCCGGTCTTTCCAGAATCTTGCTGTGCCATATCTTGAGGGTTCTCATGTCTCTATACTCATGTGTCAGGACGTAGATTTAGTCTTTATCACGTTGAGTGGATTTTGTGTAAGGTGTAAGGTAGGGGTCTTGCTTCATGCTTCTGCACGTGGAAATCCAGTTTTCCCAGCACCATTTATTGAATAGACTGTCCTTGCTCAAGGAATTAGTTTTAGATCCTTGATCAAATATAAGTTGGCTGTAGATGTTTGGATTGATTTCTGGTGTTTCAATTCTGTTTCCATTGGTCTATCCATCTGTTTCTGTACCAGTACCATGCTGTTTTGATTACAACTGCCCTGTAGTATGTCCTGAAGTCTGGTATTGTGATCCTCCGGCTTTGTTTTTGTTGTACAAGATTGCTTTAGCTATTCGAGGTCTCTTGTGCCTCCATATGAATTTCAGCATCATTTTTTCTAGATCTGTGAAGAATGTCTTTGGTATCTTGATTGGGATTGCATTGAATCTATAAATTGCTTTTGGGAGAATGGACATTTTGATGATGTTGATTCTTCCAATCCATGAGCATGGAAGATTTTTCCATTTTTTGGTATCCTCTTCTATTTCTTTCTTTAAGGTTTTGTAATTTTCATCGTAGAGATCTTTAACGTCCTTGGTTAAGTTTATTCCAAGGTATTTGATTGTTTTTGTAGCTATTGTGAATGGGATTGATCTTAGCAGTTCTTTCTCAGTCATGGCATTGCTTGTGTATACAAAGGCTGTTGATTTTTGTGCATTGATTTTATATCCTGCCACTTTGCCAAACTCCTCTATGAGTTCCAATAGTCTCTTAGTAGAGTTCTTTGGATCCTCTAAGTACAGAATCATATCGTCTGCAAAGAGGGATAGTTTGACTTCTTCCTTCTTGATTTGTATTCCTTTGATTTCTTTTTCTTGTCTGATGGCTCTGGCTAAAACTTCCAGAACTATGTTAAATAGCAGTGGTGAGAGTGGGCATCCCTGCCTGGTGCCAGATTTCAGTGGAAATGATTCCAGCTTTTCCCCATTCAATAGGATGCTGGCTGTGGGTTTTTTATAAATTGCTTTGATTATATTGAGGAATGTTCCTTCTATACCCAATTTGCTTAGAGTTTTCATCATGAAAGGGTGTTGAATTTTATCAAATGCTTTCTCTGCATCAATTGAGATAACCATATGGTTTTTCTTCTGCAGTCTGTTAATGTGGTGAATCACATTGATTGATTTGCGAATGTTGAACCATCCCTGCATACCAGGGATGAATCCCACTTGGTCTGGGTGGATGATTTTCCTGATGTGTTGTTGTATTCTATTGGCCAGAATTTTATTGAGGATTTTTGCATCTATGTTCATCAGGGATATTGGTCTGTAATTTTCTTTCAGTGCTGCATCTTTCTCTGGCTTAGGGATTAATGTGATGCTGGCTTCATAGAAAGAATTTGGGAGGATTCCCTCTTCTTCGATTGTTCTGAATAGTTTGAGAAGAAATGGGATTAGTTCTTCTTTAAATGTCTGGTAGAATTCAGCAGTGAATCCATCTGGTCCTGGGCTTTTCTTTGTTGGGAGGGCCTTTATTACTGTTTCAATTTCTGTTTCAGTTATGGGTCTATTTAGGTTTTCGATGTCTTCCTGGTTCAATTTAGGTAGGTTGCATGTGTCCAGGAATCTATCCATTTCTGATAGGTTTTCCTGTTTGCTGGCATACAGGTCCTTGTAGTAATTTCTGATGATTCTTTTTATTTCTGTGGTGTCTGTTGTTACGTTTCCTTTTTCATCTCTGATTTTATTGATTTGGGTCTTTTCTCTTCTTTTTTTAGTTAGTTGGGCCAATGGGGTGTCAATTTTGTTTATTTTTTCAAAAAACCAGCTTCTCGCTTGGCTGATTTTTTGTAATGTTTTTTTGGATTCAATCCTGTTAATTTCTTCTCTGGTTTTAATTATTTCTCTTCTCCTACTAGATTTGGGTTTGGTTTGCTGCAGTTTTTCTAGGTCCTTGAGGTGCGCTGAAAGCTCATTTATTTGGTACCTTTCCAATTTCTTGATATAGGCACCTATTGTTGAGCAGAATTTTGAGAAAGATAAAGTAAAAGTGTTTACCCTCTCCTCCTTCCCCCAGGTGCTTATTCCCTCTCTATTCGTGATTGGGATGAAGTAAGGGGTGATAATGTGAAACACTACAAAATTAGGAAACTTGACAATGGTGGATACTACATTACAACCAGAGCACAATTTGATACTCTTCAAAAATTGGTGAAACACTACACAGGTAGGTGACTATTTCAAAGGTAAAAATTATTTTCTCATGTTCTGTTTTGTCCTAGTAAGGACTGGAAGTTAAACTAGGACAAAAATCTGTATCTTTCTCTCATGTTTTAACATATTTCTTTATACAAGGTAAATGCCCAATAAGTGTCTTTGTTTCTAGTCAGAATGTGTAACAAGCAATGCTTAGTACCTGAATTGGATTCTTGGAGAATGTGATAAAATTATTTGACTCCGTATGTATATCTTAATGGCATGATGTTTACATTGGAATTTCATTTTATAAACATCAATACCAAGATAAATTACAAAATAAAATTCTTAAAAAAGATATTATTTATAGATACTTTAAAAGTAGGCAAAATTTAAATACTTGACAAATGTCCTTTTGGATTACCTTTCCTTGGATGGGCTGGATCATGTAAGATTTTCTTAAAAAGTATAAATCTAATGAAATTCAGTCAAAAGATGCATTTTTCTTATCCTGAAAAATGTGAGGTAACTATAGATGTTTTTTTCAAGGACCTTTGAAAAATACTCAGTATAGTCTTCTGAATTAGAAATTTTCATTTCCAGTTTGATGTATGAATGCATTTGAAAATCTTTAAATGATTAATACTAGGGTAGGGGAAGTTTCCATGGTAATGTCTTCTTCAATGACAGTTAGCTACAAACTGAGTCTGTCAGATCAACCAGCAATCTTGACGTTGATCAAACATGTTACCAAGCTGTAGCATCATTCGTAATTGCTCTTGTTAGAATGTGAATTTATGTGGTTGATAAGAATGGAAAGGAATGTTGTCTCATTTTCAGTTAGAAACCTTGTATTAGCTGGTTCACAAGTCAGCCATTGTGAATCTGCAGTTCCCTGCCTTTGTGTCTCCCTTATTTAAAAACCAGTCCCATAAGTTTGGTGTATCTTACAAATTAGCGGTCATTAGAAATAACAATGATGGTATTCTCTGTGGTAATAAAGTCCAGTGGTGAAAAGCAGAACTTTGGAGGCAGATCCCATCTCACCATCACTTACTGACTGTGGGACTTTGGGAAAGTTACATTTGTTTTCTGTGCTTCATTTATATGAGGCATTTGTAAAGTGCTGAATTAGCACAATAGCTGGCACATAAGTATTCAACAAATAGTAACTTTAAAAATATATTTAATAAAATGTTTCATAAATATATACTTTATATTTTGCTTCTTACAATTTTTTGTGTTTGTTTTTATAGTAAAATTGGGCATGTTTTTGTTTTTCTATTATTTAAACGTTTCACTTTGATATACTATCTACACCCTAATTTTTGCAGGTTACTCATTTTACGGTTTAATTTATTCATTTACCTAGAACATGCTGATGGTTTATGTCACAAGTTAACATTTTACGGTTTAATTTATTCATTTATCTAGAACATGCTGATGGTTTATGTCACAAGTTAACAACTGTGTGTCCAACTGTGAAACCACAGACTCAAGGTCTAGCAAAAGATGCTTGGGAAATTCCTCGAGAATCTTTGAGACTAGAAGTTAAACTAGGACAAGGATGTTTTGGTGAAGTATGGATGGGTAAGAAAGCTGAATTTTTGGTTTTTGTCATTATTTAGCCATAGATTGAAGTGCCACAATTTATGATAAAATGTGTTTATAAATATCTAAGGTAATTGAAAGTTGGTTAAAAATCCCTTAAAATATGTATTTTTTATACCTTAAATAATTTTTTTTAAAAAGCAAGTTCTAGAAGTTATCCAGATAGAAGGTAAAAATCAAACAGTTTTATATGTATAATACAACTCCCAATGCATTCAAAATGTTCTGACTTAACGACATACCAGAATGTCAGGGTAACATTCTAAAATAAAGATTGCTGTTGAAAAACTAGAAAAAAAAGTATTTCAATAATGTAATGTATTGTTTCTTTAGGAACATGGAATGGAACCACAAAGGTAGCAATCAAAACACTAAAGCCAGGTACAATGATGCCAGAAGCTTTCCTTCAAGAAGCTCAGATAATGAAAAAATTAAGACATGATAAACTTGTTCCACTATATGCTGTTGTTTCTGAAGAACCAATTTACATAGTCACTGAATTTATGTCAAAAGGTATGTATGTATTATATCTCTTAGGCCATTGATGTTGATGAGTTTTTTTTAAGATTCAAGTCTTCTGTTTTTATGCAAATAGTTTTTTTTTATTTTACACTTTTCTAATGTAAGATTTTTATGTAGATATTTGAAAAGAGGAAAATGACACTTTCTTTATAATAGTTACTAATTTCAGTAACTGATTAATTTCGGTATTTCAGAAGATAGTACAGAATTTAAAAGGAAATATATATACGGGTTGAATTGATTTTGAAAGTAGATTGAGCTGGCGCTGTGGCTCACTAGGCTAATCCTCCGCCTTGCGGCGCCGGCACACCGGGTTCTAGTCCCGGTCAGGGCGCCGGATTCTGTCCCAGTTGCCCCTCTTCCAGGCCAGCTCTCTGCTGTGGCCAGGGAGTGCAGTGGAGGATGGCCCGAGTTCTTGGGCCCTGCACCTCATGGGAGACCAGGAATAGTACCTGGCTCCTGCCTTTGGATCAGCGCAGTGCACTGGCCGCAGCGCGCTGGCTGCGGCGGCCATTGGAGGGTGAACCAACGGCAAAAGGAAGACCTTTCTCTCTGTCTCTCTCTCTCACTGTCCACTCTGCCTGTCAAAAAGAAAAAAAAAAGTAAAGAAAGTAGATTGACCAAAGGAAATGGAATAGCTTGGAGAACGATAAATAACAAGTTTGTACAAATTGAATCAAAATGATAAAATCAGATGTTTTTCAGTGCTAAAGCAAAGAAGATAAAGTTAAAAGGAGTTAGTTTTCTCTCATTTTAATGTAAACACAATCCCTGTACATAGGATTCCTAAAAACTTCTTTTTGTTATCATAGCTGGTTGAAATTTTTCCATTCCCCCAAACCCAACTAACTATAAGATGTCACCTTTGGCAGCAGTTAGGGACAGGATAAAGAAACTGGGAAGGTTTCTGCTCTTCCCTCTTTTTCCCTATCCTAATGATCCTTTCTTTAGAGGAGGAACCAGTGAGTCAGCAAATAGACCAACTGGCCCAACTTTTATCCATTTTGATTTTGATGTACTTTTTTTCTTTTTACTCTTTTGAAACCATCATCATTTATAGTTAAGTCACTAATTATGTCACCCTCTCTACTCCTCTGTCTTGACCAATGATGTAGTTCCATCTAGTGGAGATGGGGGCAACTACAAGCCACACATTTACTCTAGGAAAATTCTTCCTCAAAATGGACTGAAGCCAAAAGTTAAAGAACTGGAATAGGCATTGCATATTAATTGATAACCAAAACATACCTAAACCTCAAAACACATGGTGTCTTTGGAAGCAATTTCTACTGCAAACAGCTGCCAAATATACTTGTTCAAAGTGTACATTCTGGGGCAGCACTGCAGTGCAGCAAGGTAAGCCACTGCCTGTAGCACCAGCATCCCATATAGGCTCCCATTCAAGTCCTGGCTGCTCCACTTCCAATCTAGCTCCCTGCTGATGCACCTAGGAAAGCATCAGAAGATGATCCAAATCCTTGGGCCACTGCATCAACGTGGGAGACCTGGATAAAACTCCTGGCTCCTGGGTTTGGATCGGCTGGGCCGATCCAAATGGAATGGCCATTATAGCCATTTGGGGAGTGAGCCAGTGGATGGAAGATCTCTGTCTCTGTCTCCTTCTCTCTCGTAACTCTGACTTTCAAATAAATACATCTTTTAAAAAAAAGGAAGTACATTGGATGAACTATACAAGGAAAGCAGATCCACACTGTGTACATGAATTGTAGTGTCACTCTCTTCCCATAAATGCACTTACTATGGGTCAATTAAAAATACAAATTATATTTCAAAAAAAAGATGATAAAACAAAGGGAAATGCAGGAAGTTTAATTGAAGATTTGAATAGCATAGAAATTCAATGGAAGTAAGGCTAATTGTCCATTTAACTGTATTGATAATGTAGTTGAGGGAACATGCTAGAATTCTGTGTTGTCAGATGATTAGATTAAGATTGTTTCCAGGTGGGAGATTGAGAATAGGAAATAACAAAAGTTATCTTGGATTTGCTATGTTGATGCCCCATTACTTAGCAATAACTACATAATTTTTTTTTTATTTTTTATTTATTTTTTTGACAGGCAGAGTGAACAGTGAGGGAGAGAGACAGAGAGAAAGGTCTTCCTTTGCCGTTGGTTCACCCCCCAATGGCCGCTGCGGCCGGCACGCTGCGCTGATCCAAAGCCAGGAGCCAGTGCAGGGCCCAAGCACTTGGGCCATCCTCTACTGCCCTCCCGGGCCACAGCTGAGAGCTGGCCTGGAAGAGGAGCAACCAGGACAGAATCCAGCGCCCCAACCGGGAGTAGAACCCGGTGTGCTGGCGCCACAGGCGGAGGATTAGCCTATATTGAGCTGTGGCGCTGGCCCATAATCTTTCAAACTCATTGCCTTATGTACTCTGAGATAGAACCACTGTTATGGACAGATAATCTTATTGCCCTTATTTTAGTGGGTTTTTTTCATACTAGTTCCCTCACCTGGAATTTGGTTTCCCTATCTCTTGACCTGTCCAGCAGCTACACTTCCCTTCTCAGTATCCAGTCCATGGTCATTCATTGCATTTAGTTGTCATTGCTCTTTAGCCTACTTTGGTCTAGATTTTTTTTTTCCTTTTGTGATCTCGCAAAGCATTATTCTTTAAGAGTATGGTCCAATTTTATGTTTTAAAAACTGTGCTTTAATTTGGTTTGTCTGATTTTTTTATTTTTTTTTTTGGAATTAAATACAAACACATGGGCCATGGCTCAATAGGTTAATCCTCCACCTGTGGTGCCAGCACCCCGGGTTCTAGTCCCGGTCAGGGCACTGGATTCTGTCCGGTTGCTCCTCTTCCAGTCCAGCTCTCTGCTGTGGCCTGGCAGTGCAGTAGAGGATGGCCCAAGTGCTTGGGCCCTGCACCCACATGGGAGACCAGGAGGAAGCACCTGGCTTCGGATCAGCATGGTGCGCCGGCCACAGCGCGCCAGCTGCAGCAGCCATTGAGGGGTGAACCAACCGAAAAAGGAAGACCTTTCTGTCTGTCTCTCTCACTGTCCACTCTGCCTGTCCAAAAAAAAAAAAAAAAAAGGCAAATACATGGTAAGCTTTTAACCATAATAGGTAAATGACAGCCAGACTTTTCCTTTGTCTCCTTTCTCTTTGTTGTTACCACAGTACTTTGCTGTTCCATGGTACCTTCTTCTAGAATTGAGAGAAGTTGGTCAAACAGTTGCATAAAAACTCATTTAGCCACTTCTGTTATAACTAATTATTATTAAATGTATAACTAAATAATGCCAGTTGTCTGAATTCTTGATTAAGATTAATTTAAAAACATGTGTCTGTTACTACTTTTTAAACCAAAGTTGGGGTTTTGATCAAAGCAAGAAAAGATTACCTTTTTTTGAGGGGGGTTGTTTATTTGTTTTTTCTATTTCAAATCTGCCATTTGTTTTTTCATTTTCAATTATCTTTATATACAGAAGATCAATTTAGTATATATTAAGTAAAGATTTCATCAGTTTTCACCCACACAGAACATAAAGTGTAAAATACTGTTTGAGTACTAGTTATAGCATTAATTCACATTGGACAGCACATTAAGGATAGAGATCCCACATGAGGAGTAAGTACATAGTGACTCTTGTTGTTAACTTAACAATTTGACACTCTTGTTTATGGCGTCAGTACTCTCCCTAGGCTCTAGTCATGAGTTGCCAAGGCTATGGAAGCCTCTTGAGTTCACTGACTTTGATCTTATTTAGACAAGGTCATAGTCAAAGTAGAAGTTCTCTCCTCCCTTCAGAGAAAGGTACCTCCTTTGATGGCCCCGTTCTTTCTACTGGGATCTCACTCGCGGAGATCTTTCATTTAGGTTTGTTTTTTTGTTTTTGTTTGTTTGTTTGTTTTTGCCACAGTGTCTTGGCTTTCCATGCCTAAAATACTCTCATGGGCTCTTCAGACAGATCTGAATGCCTTAAGGGCTGATTCTGAGGCCAGAGTGCTGTTTAGGACATCTGCCGTTCTATGAGTCTGCTGTGTATCCCACTTCCCATGTTGGATCGGTCTCTCCCTTTTTTATTCTATCGGTTAGTATTAGCAGACACTAGTCTTGTTTGTGTGATCCCTTTGACTCTTTACCTTTAATCTGCTGAGGTCATTGCATTTTCTTTTTTCAAATGTTATCAGAAATTTTTGGAATTTTGGTTAGAAACCCCTTCTGTAATCTTTCAAAACAAAAATTTCAAAACTGTAAAAATATTAAAGAATGAAAGTTAGTTGTATGTTGTGGTTTGGTGAGTTGTTTGGAAGTGGAAGAGTGTGTATTTCAATCCTATTGTGAGATTTGCTTATTTTCCATCTTTATCTTGCTGTTTCTTTCAGGGAGCTTATTAGATTTCCTTAAGGAAGGGGATGGAAAGTATTTGAAGCTTCCACAACTGGTTGATATGGCTGCTCAGGTATTTACATACATACATGTATCATTTTGAATTGGAAGTACTATTTAAAATGTAGGATAATCTTAGCAGACTATTATAGTTTATATAGTGAAATAATGGAATTTTTGAACTAGAAAGAAAACTTGCAATACCTTAAGTTTTGAGTTCCTACTATTATAGATAATATAGTGTCTGAGGACCAGAGATGTTTAAAAGTTGTATAACTTGTTAAGAGTAAAACCTGTACTAAAATAAGCTCCAGTGCTGTCCTGTTCTATATGACCTTTTAGAAAAGATATGCTTCTACAAATATAAAGTCTATGAGAGTATATGCTTGTATTTCAGCAATTTTAAGAAAAAATCGAGTACCACTTCAGAGAAAATATTAGAAATCTAAAGTATATTCTAATTTTTTATTTAATAGAGCCCAAAACAAGAATTAAGGTGGCCATAAACAGTTTTAAATGGGACTTTTCAGAACACTTTTTTTTTCCTCCAGAGAAACCTTTTATTTAATGAATACATCAGAGCATTTTTATCCTAGTGATTAAGATGCCCATATCCCACATTGAACTGCCTCGGTTTGATGCCTGACTCTGGCTCCTTCCTCTAGCTTCCTGCCGTTGCAGACCCTCGTGGTGAACTGGGATGCAGCAGTAATGGCTCAAATAATTGGCTTCCTGATACTCATATTTGGGATCTGGATTATGTTTCCAGATCCTAGATCCAGTCTTAGCCCTTATGTGAATTAAGAGTGAACCAAAGCTGACAACATGCATTTTATCTCTGTTATCTCTGTATTTATGTATATCTGTATATCTATCCCTCTCTATCTAATTTGTCTCTCATTTTTTTAAGATACTTTTCTACTCATCTGAAATTTTATTTTAAATATAAAATGAAAACTCATTTTAAAATGAGTTTCTATTCAGGGGTTGGTGCTATGGCATAGCTGGTTAAGCTATCACCTGCAGCACCAGCATCTCACATGAGCACCAGTTTGATTCCTGGCTGCTCCATTTCCATTCCAACTCTCTGCTAATGCTCCTACTAAAGCAGCAGAAGATGGGCCAAGTGCATGGGTCCCTGCTACCCATATGGGAGACCCAGAAGAAGCTCCTAGCTCTTAAGTTAGGAGCTGGCTCGGTGGCACAGCAGGTAAAGCTGTAAGTGCCGGCGTCCCATATGGGTACCATTTTGAATCCTGGCTGTTCCACTTACAATCCAGCTCTCTGCTATGGCCTGGCAAAGCAATGGAAGATGGCCCAAGTCCTTGGGCCCATACACTCACGTGGGAGACCCAGAAGAAGCGCCAGGCTCCTGACTTCAGATTGGCCCAGCTCTGGCCATTGTAGCCAACTGGGGAGTGAACCATCGGATGGAAGACCACTCTTTCTCTCCCTTCCTCCCTCCCTCCCCACCTTTAACTATACCTTTCAAATAAGTGGATAAATCGTAAATAAATAAGATAAAATTTTTTAAAATTTTATTTAAGTTAGACAAGTTTCGTGTATTTCTTATATATAGATTTAGGAACATAATGATACTTCCCTCTGTCCCGCCCATGTTCAAACCTTTTTCCTCCTCCCTCTCCCATTCCTACTCTTAATTTTTAGAGATCTACTTTCAGTTTACTTAATGATTGTAAGGTTAACCCTACACTAAATAAAAGAATTCAACAAATAGTATGAAAAAAAAAAAAAAAAGTACTGTTCCTCAACAGAAGAGAGAAGGGCTATAAACAATCAGTGAATCTCAACATGCCCATTTCATTCCAGTACATTACATTTTAGGTACTCTGTTAGTTACCCCTGATCAGGGAAAACATATGTCTTCTTGGGACTGGCTTATTTCATTAAGTACAATGATTTTTAGTTGCATACATTTTGTTGCAAATGTCAGAATTTCTTTTTTTTTTAACAGCTGAGTAGTACTCCATAGTATGTGTATATATTCTTTTTAATCTGATCTTCAGTTGATGGACATCTGGGTAGACTCCATACCTTAGCTATTGTGCTGCAATGAACATGGGGGTACAGATAACTCTTTCATATGCTGATTTCTTTTGGTTTGGGTAAATTCCCAGGAGTGGGATGGCTGAATCATATGGTAGGTCTATATTGAGATTTCTGAGGTGCCTGCATACTGTTTTCCACAGTGGCTGGACTGATTTACATTCCAAATAAATCTTAAAAAAAAAAGTTTCTATTCAGATATGTGGTTCATTTTCAGGGAGGTTTAGAAAATTTTTTAATTTGTTTGAAAGAGGAGGAATGGATGCAAGATCTTCCATCCACTGATTTTCTCCCCAGTTATCTTCAATAGTCAGTGCCTGGCCAGGTTAAAGTGAGGAGCCTGAAACTCAGTTTGGCTTTTCCATGTGGGTAACTGGGTCTCAAGCACGCCATTCCTTGCTGCCTCCCAGGGTGCACATTAGTAGGAACTGATAGCAGAAGTAGAGCTAAGACTCAAACCTAGACATCCCAGGCAGGCATCCCAGGTAGCATCTTAGCTGCTGTGCCAGATGCCTGCTCCTCAGGGAATTTTTTGGCTTTTAGTTGACAATGCTGATTCTGGAACCCTTATCTCAGCATCCAAATGTCCACAAGATCTGGCAATTTTGATAAACTTTATATTGAGAACCATACATGCAAGATAGGTAGGTATATGCCAGGCTTGGTTCGTGTTCCTGAGTTCAGGGCTCATAGACACAATCTATGGGGAGGTGGGGAGTTGGGGTGGTGCAGTTACTCTTCCTCTTTTTCTCTTTTTTTCATAAACCTTTAAAAATACAAAAGGTATTTTTAGTTCTCAGGCCACACAAAAACAGGCTCTAGGGATTCAGTCTACCAGATATGGTTTGCCAATCTTTGTGATTAATAACTTTTTTTTAAGATTTATTTTACTTACTTGAAAGACTTACAGAGAGGTAGAGACAGAGGGAGAAGTCTTCCATCCTCTGGTTCACTCCCCAGATGGCTGCAACGGCTGGAGCTGTGCCGATCCAAAGCCAGGAGCTAGGAGCTTCCTCCAGGTCTCCCATGCAGGTGCGGGGGCCCATGGACTTGAGCCATCCTCTACTGCTTTCCCAGGCCATAGCAGAGAGCTGGATTGGAAGAGGAGCAGCTGGGACTAGAAATGGCACCCATATGGGATGCCGGCACTTCAAGTCAGGGCTTTAATCCACTGTGCCACAGTGCCGGCCCTGTGATTAATACCTTTTTCACTAGGACATCTTAGATGGGCCTGATAGGTTTGTGTCCAGAGCTAAATAGTAATAACATAATAATAAAATAATAATAATGATAACAACAACAGCTAAATAACCCTGTAATTTATCTCTTCCATTGACAACCAACTCAAGAAGGCCCTGGGACATGCTGCTAATGATGATGAGATATATCATTGGATTTGAAAATGTTGGCTTGGGGCTGGTGCAGTGGTATTTAGGTAAAACTGCTATCTGCAATGCCAGCATCCCATATGGGCACTGGTTGGAGACCCAGCTGCTCCACTTCTGATCCAGCTCCCTTCTAATGCACCTGGGAAAGCAGCAGAAGATGGCCCAAGTGCTTGGGCCCCTGTACCATGTGGGAAACCCAGGTGAAGTTCCTGGCTCCTGGGTTTGGTTTGGCACAGCCCCAGCCATTGTGGGCATTTGGGGAGTGAAGCAGTAGATGGAAGATCTCATTCTGTCTCTCCCTCTCTCTGTAGCTGACTTTCAAATAAATAAACCTTAAAAAAAAAAAAAAAGAAATCTTGGCCTTCATAGTAGATGTCAAATTTTTTAAAATCTGATTTTAGCCTGCTTTTTTATTACAGTGTTTCCTATTTTTGCTATTGTAACTTAGACTGCACCCTGTTCCTATCATTTCTTTGTTTAGTACCTGGTTTTTTTATTACCCTAATGTAATATTAACCAAAATTTTCTCCCCACTTCCCTCTGAATCATGTATTTCATGTTTTTCTTTCCAAGATTGCTGATGGCATGGCATATATTGAAAGAATGAACTATATTCACCGAGATCTTCGAGCTGCCAATATTCTTGTAGGAGAAAATCTTGTATGCAAAATCGCAGATTTTGGTTTAGCAAGATTAATTGAAGACAATGAATACACAGCAAGACAAGGTAGAATTGTTTTCACATAAATGCTCTTAACCTAATGTCCTCTGTATGTTCTTAACATTATTTGGCATGTGCAGGATTTTATAGAATATGTACCCTCAAAAAAAATTCACAAAAACTGTGACTTTACTGTTTTATTCATAAAATTATAGAGTAATACCACTGTGGCTTTTTGGTGTGATTGCCCTCCAAGCTAAAGCTTTACTAGGTAGTTACAGCATTTATTTAATGTAGCAAGTAGTAACTCTATACTTATTAAGCATGCCAACAAAGAAACTTTTTTAATGTTATTTCATAACAGACTTCATGAATCATTAAACTCTTGCCTGTGAACAAAAGTTTTCAATTAGAGTTGATATTGTCTACCCACATTGCCACAACCAGGAACTTCTGACAATGTCTACCTTGAAACATTTTTGGTTTTTACAACTTGAAGGCTACTGTAGTTATCTAGTGGATAGAGGCCAGACATAATGCATTGGTTGTGATAGTGCCAGTGAAAATTGTTACCTAAGCATCTAAAATAAGTAATTTTATAAACACATTTAATCACTTTATGTAAGATACATATAATCTTATTTCCTCTTTAAATGTATAAACTTTAGGAAAGCTAGGGGTTTTTTTTCCTGTACCATAACCTTACACATAAAAGACATGCACCAAATTTTTGAAGAAGTGAACATGGGATTTTTAAAAGTAAGCATAATACAGTTTTTCAGAAAGATAAAATGAAAAAAGCACAGTAGACACTTGAGCCCAACAGCACGTGCCCTCATCCACCAATAGTTAGCAGATGCCAGACTATACTTAAAAGTTAACAAATGTTACAATCCATATTTTTGCTTTACCATATCTTTTACCCCTGAGATTTTCTTAAGTGGTTTTCTGTCTTAACTTCCAACTTTATTTTTTATATCATTGAGTATCATCTGAGGAAGAAATGTGATTCATTTTACTGTGAATTTTCAGAATTAAGAATTTTTTCCCATGTATCTTGTATGTTTGAAGACTCTTGACAGTGATGCTGGGCATATTGACAAAAGGTTAGCCCTGCTTATGCTATATTTACTCAAGCATATATTTAAAAACAACTAAGATTGCCAGTATTGTTTTAGGTGCAAAATTTCCAATCAAATGGACAGCTCCTGAGGCAGCACTGTATGGTCGATTTACAATAAAGTCTGATGTATGGTCATTTGGAATTCTACAGACAGAATTGGTTACAAAAGGCAGAGTACCATATCCAGGTAAGCTTGCATTTCATTAGCTCTTGGTTATCTCCTCTGTGACTTTAACAGAAGTTTATTAGGAGCAGAAATGTAAGGAGGGGAGGCCTTTATTTCTTCCCTCTCTGTGCTGTCTCTCTTGTTTTGCCATTGGATGGACAGCAGCCAGTGAGAGCCATAGTCCTTGAGGTAGGACAAGCACATGAGGTGTGCCCTACATTCACTTCTGCTTTCTCCCTGAGGAAATTTTCCAGAAGGCTTTATATCTGTCCTGGTCTCTCATATCTCAGACCTCAAATGCTTATAGGGCATCTTCATTTTCCCCAAGTAGCTATTTTCTAATAGAGGGACTTGTATATTTTTATAAATATGGATCTTCTGTGTTTTCCTCAGTAAACTACCTTGAGAAGAAACTTACCTGTCATTAATAAAGAGGAAAAAAGATGTTTTTCTGTCAAAAATAGATTTCTATAGCTTTAGGGGGCAATTGAGGAAATGTTAGCTTGTTTGGAATTAAGCTATAGTGGAATATTATTTTGTCTGATACTTCTCAAAAATTTTCTACTAAATTATTCTAGTAGAGGAGAGTGAAAGCAAATAAATTCCAATCTTCAGGAAATCTGTCAGGTTAATCTTACAGTTTTTATATATCGTCTGCCATATTCCCCCATTCTGATTCCTCCAACTATAAATCTAAAACTATCAAATTTTATTACCTACTTTCCCTTGTTGCAGTTACTTGCTGTGATCACCAGTGTCTCCTCCCTTAATACAACTTACCATCACCCTTTTCCAATAAGACTGAGCTCCTGTCTTAATTCATGTCATCGTAATATAATCATCATTGCTTTTTTTTTTTTTTTTTGAAGATTTGATTTATTTTTTTGAAAGGCAGAGTTACAAAGAGGGAGAGATAGAGAAAGAGATCTTCCATCTGCAACATCCAGGGCTGGGCCAGGCTGCAACCAGGAGCCTGGACTTCATCCAGGTCTCCCACATAGGTATCCAGGGCCCAAGCACTTAGACCATCTTCTGCTGCCTTCTCAGGTGCATTGGCAGGGAACTGGATCAGAAGTGGAGCAGCCAGGACTCCAACTGGTGCCCATATTGTGATGCTGGCATCACTGGCAGTGGGTTAACCCACTGTGCCACAGTGCTGGCCCCTGATTTTTCCATTACTGTGGTCTCTTGCAGCTTTAGTAGCTTCAACTTTTCCTTCCAGTTTCCCTTAGCCAGACTTTCCATGTTCATAATAACCACAACTCTCCCATAATCTGATTCTTGTATCCACTCTACCACCTCCCATCTTTTGAGTTAACACTTTCTACCTCAGCCCTAGCAATTTCTCCACAATACCAAGATCTTTACGTTGATGCTACCACCTTTTACTGCTTCTCACACTCTATAAAACCAGTCTACTTCAATTCTGTGATCAAGCAGTGTAATCACTCTTTATTTATGATTGCTCTTCTCTCGTTTTGTCACTTGTGCTTAACAAAATCACTGAACTAAATACACCCAGTTCTGCCTACTGTACACTTGGCAAACATGACTGAAGAAAACAGTATAGCTATGTTTCACTTTAAATATATATACAAGGAGTAACTTTGAGTTTTGACCATAGTGGAATGACTAATATCTAACTTACCATCTCACTAAAACTGCAAGTTAGACTAAATACATAAAACAATTGTTTTGACACTGCTTAGCAACTGATAAAGGCCACAATCCTTAAGATAGGGCAAGCCTATTATGTGGGCCCTATATTTTATACCTAAAAGGATGTAAGGTGATAGAGCTCAAAGAGCAAGTATCAGTCTGAGCAAGAACAGAGATCCACAAGTACAGGGGTCTGGAAGGCAAGATCACAGAAGGAAAGGAGCCACAGGGAAATAACTCTAAAATTCCATTCTGGTTCTTGGTCAAGTCCTGTTCTGCTTATGAATGGAGAGACTGCAGGAAACCTAACAGAAAATAGCTTCTAGGGGGCTTGGTAGCTAAGCAGAGTTCAGAGTTACAGAGTGCTTGCTCAGCTGAAGTGGATGGACATTGGACAGACAAAAAGCTCTCTAGGCTTTTTGCAGGGACTCTTAGAAAGGCCATGCCATCAGAGAAGTGGTAAAACTGAACAAAACTTAAGTACAAGCCTTGACAGACCAAATCTTGGTGAACTGCCAGTAAACTACTGATAGAATAAGACCTAACATCCATTAGAAAATGACAACATGATCCAGATAATCTACAATATGATTCAAAATGTCTAGCATAAAATAAACTGTTACTAAACACATGAATAAAGGAAAGGATGACTGATTATAGGAGTAACAATTTAATAGGAACAGTTCCAGAGATTTTTCATATCTTGGAGTTAACCAAGGATTCTAAAATAGCAATATTTAAGATATTAAAGTAGAACAGTTTGGCAAAATAATGAAGAAACTGGAGACTCATTACAATTGGAATCTATAAAAAAGAACAAATGGAAATTTTGGAACCTTAAAACAGATTAAATTAAGAGCTCATTAGAGGAGTCAGAGCTGTGGCATAGTGGGTAAAGCCCTGGCCTGCAGCACCAGCATTCCATATGGGTGCTGGTTTGAGACTTGGCTGCTCCATTTCTGATCCAGCTCCCTGCTAATGTGCCTGGGAAAGCAGTGGAAGATGGTCCAAGTCATTGGGCCCATGCACCCACATGGGAGACCCAGATGAAGTTCCTGACTCCTGGCTTCGGTCTGACCCAGCCCTGGATGTTGTGGCCATTTGGGGAGTGAATCAATGGATGGAAGATCACCCTCTCTGTAACTCTGCCTCTCAAATAAATAAATAAATCTTAAAAAAAAAAAAAAATTCTCCAAGATGGCAGAATAGGGAGGGAGCACACTGATAGTCTGGGAAAAGATAGTTTAATAAAAGTGGAGATACTGTAGTCTCAGGGAAGAGTTAGGGGGAAAAACTGCAGAGGAAACTCTTCGGGAACTAGTGGGACACAGTGGACCAACGTGGAAGGCACAGACGCCCACAGCTCGGGACTCCAGCCACCAAGTCTATGCACCAGTGCTGGAAAGGGAGGGGCCAGAGATAGAGAGAGAGAAGATTTACCATGCCAAATTTGGGTGTGTCACCTTTGGCACACTCTTAACCCTGAAGACCTGAACAGAGCTCTCTGGCCACACACATCACAAGCCTCTAAAGATCCACCAAAAGCAGACAGTCCACTTAATCTAGAGTCATAGCATAACGAGAAAAGCCACGACAGCAAGGAAAAAAAAAGAAGAAACCAAAGAATATCTCCCCAATGCCAAGCAACAAATGCAGAAGCCGAGGAAACAAGAACAAGGAAGACATTATGACGCCCCTAAATGAACATGACACTCCAATTCAAGATTATGAAGATGATGAGATAGAAGAAATGCAAAATATGGATTTTTTTTTTTTTGACAGGCAGAGTGGACAGTGAGAGAGAGAGAGAAATGTCTTCCTTTACCGTTGGTTCACCCTCCAGTAGCCACTGCGGCCAGTGCACTGCGGCTGGCACACCGCGCTGATCCGAAGCCAGGAGCCAGGTGCTTCTCCTGGTCTCCCATGGGGTGCAGGGCCCAAGGACTTGGGCCATCCTCCACTGCACTCCCGGGCCAGAGCAGAGAGCTGGACAGAAAGAGGGGCAACCGGGACAGAATCCGGCGCCCTGACCAGGACTAGAACCCGGTGTGCCGGCGCCACAGGCGGGGAATTAGCCTATTGAGCCACGGCGCCAGCCAAGATATGAATTTCAAAAAATTGATGATAAGAACACTTAGAAGTTCTCAAAAACAAATTCTTGAACTACAGAAATCCTTACTGGACAGGATAGAAAATCTCTCTTGTGAAAATGAAATCTCAAGGAGGAATCAAAATGAAATGAAGAATCTAGTAGAACATGAAATTGTGATATTGAAGAGAAATCAAAATGAAATGAAGAATTCAATAGATCAAATGACAAATGCATTTGAGAGCCTTAAAAACAGAATCAGTGAAGCAGAAGAGAGAATATCAGACTTAAAAAAGCACAGGAAAGTATACAATCAAAGAAGAAAGTATACAGTCTGGAGAAGGACAGACATCCTAGTACAGGAAGCTCATAGAACCCCTAGTAAACATGACCAAAAGAGATCCTCACCACGACACATTGTAATCAAACTCACCACAGTGAAACACAAAAGATTCTAAAATGTGCAAGAGAGAAACATCAGATTACTCTCAGAGGATCCCCAATTAGACTCACAGCAGACTTCTCATCAGAAACCCTACAGGCTAGGAGGGAATGGCGAGATATAACCCAGGTACTAAGAGAAAAAAACTGCCAGCCCAGAATATTATATCCTGCAAAGCTCTCATTTGTGAATGAAGGTGAAATAAAGACCTTTCATAGCAAATAGAAATTGAAAGAATTTGTCACCACTCGTCCAGCCCTGCAAAAGATGCTTAAAGATGTGTTACAAACAGAAATACAGAAACACGGCCATCAATATGAAAGAAGGTAAAGGAAGAAAACCTCCCAGTAAAAGATCACAGGAAGTTCAAAGCATATATTAGAAATATCTTTGGGAAAATGGCAGGGCAAAGTTACTACTTATCAATAGTCACATTGAACGTTAATGGCCTGAACTGTCCAGTTAAAAGGCACAGACTGGCTGAATGGATTAAGGAACAAAACCCATCTATTTGCTGCTTAGAAGAAAGACATCTTTCCAACAAAGATGCATGCAGACTGAAAGTGAAAGGTTGGAAAAAGATATACCATGCCAACAGAAATCAAAAAAGAGTGGGCATAGCCATCTTAATATCAGACAAAATAAACTTTAACAAAAAGCTGTTAAGAGAGACAGAGGGGCACTATATAATGATTAAGGGATCAATTCAACAGGAAGATGTGACTATTATAAAAGTATATGCACCTAATTACAGGGCACTGATTTATTTAAAAGATATGTTAAAGGACTTAAAGGGAGACTTAGACCCCAATACAATAGTACTGGGGGACTTCAATACTCCACTTTCAGCTATAGACAGATCAACAAGACAGAAGATCAACAAGGAAACAGCAGATTTAATTGACACTATAGCCCAAATGGATCTAACAGATATCTACAGAACTTTTCATCCTACACATAAAGCATTTACATTCTTCTCAGCAGTACATGGAACCTGCTGTAGGATTGACCACATACTAGGCCATAAAGCAAATCTCAGCAAATTCAAAAGAATTAGAATCATACCATGCAGCTTCTCAGACCACAGTGGAATGAAGTTGGAAATTAGCAACTCAGGAATCCCTAGAGTATATACAAACACATGGAGACTGAACAACGTGCTCCTGAATGAACAATGGGTCATAGAAGAAATCAAGAGAGAAATCAAAAACTTTCAGGAAGTAAGTGAGGATAACAACACAACATATCAAAACTTATGGGATATAGCAAAAGCAGTGTTAAGAGGAAAGTTTATAGCAATAGGTGCCTACATCAAGGAATTGGAAAGGCACCAAATAAATGAGTTTTCAGTGCATCTCAAGGATCTAGAACAACTGCAACAAACCAGACCCAAAACTAGTAGGAGAAGAGAAATAATTAAAATCAGAGAAGAAATCAACAGAATTGAATCAAAAATATTACAGAAGATCAGCCAAACGAAGAGTGATCAGTTTCAGTTCACAATTGATCATAATGATAGGACTAAGAGTCAAAGGGATCTCATAAACAAGACTAGTGTCTGCTAATACTAACTGATGGAATTATAAAGGAGAGACCGATCCAACATGAGAAGCAGGGTACACAGCAGACTCATAGAATGGCAAATGTCCTAAACAGCACTCTGGCCTCAGAACCAGCCCTTAAGGCATTCGGATCCGGCTGAAAAGCCCATGAGAGCATTTCCGGCATGGAAAACCAAGACACTGGCAAAAACAAAAACAAAAAAAACCACAAACCTAAATGGAAGATCTCTGTGAGATCCCAGTGGAAAGAACAGGCCATCAAAGAAGGAGGTACCTTTCCCTGAAGGGAGGAGGGAACTTCCACTTTGACTATGACCTTGTCTAAATAGGATCAGAGGTGGCGAACTCAAAAGGCTTCCATAGCCTTTTTGATCCCCATGTACGACCTCTGTCCTTAATGTGTTGTACAATGTGAATTAATGCTGTAGGTAGTACTGAAACAGTACTTTACACTTTGTATTTCTGTGTGAGTGCAAACTGTTGAAATCTCTACTTAATATATACTAAATGGATCTTCTGTATATAAAGATAATTGAAAATGAATCTTGATATGAATGGAATGGGAGAAGGAGTAGGAGATGGGAGGGTTGCGGGTTATGGGGGCTGGCGCCGCGGCTCACTAGGCTAATCCTCCACCTGCAGTGCCAGCACCCTGGGTTCTAGTCCCGGCCAGGGTGCTGGATTCTGTCCGGTTGCTCCTCTTCCAGTCCAGCTCTCTGCTGTGGCGTGGGAAGGCAGTGGAGGATGGCCCAAGTGCTTGGGCCCTGCACCCACATGGGAGACCAGGAGGAAGCACCTGGCTCCTGGCTTCAAATCAGCACAGCGCGCTGGCCACAGTGGCCATTGAGGGGTGAACCAACGGAAAAGGAAGACCTTTCTCTCTGTCTCTCTCTCTCTCACTGTCTTAACTCTGCCTGTCAAAAAAAAAAAAAAAAGTTATGGGGGAGGAAAAAGCCACTGTAATCCAAAAGCTGTACTTTGGAAATTTATATTTTTTAAATAAAAGTTTAAAAGAAAAAAACTCATCATTGGGGCCGACATTGTGGCACAGCGGGCTAAGCAGTCACCTGCATGCCAGCATCCCATTTGAGCGCCAGTTTGAGAACAGCTGCTCCACTTCCAATCCAGCTGCCTGCTAATGTGCCTGGGGAAGCATAGGAGATGGCTCAAATGTTTGGGCCCCTGCACCCATGTGCGAGACCCAAATGGAATTCCAGGTTCCTGGCTTCCACCTGGGCCAGCCCTGGCTGTTGCGGCCATTTGTGGAGTGAACCAGCAAATCAAACTTCTCTCTTTCCCTTTTTCTCCCTGCCTCTATAACTCTGCCTTTTAAAAAATAAATAAATCTTTTTTTTTTTAAAGTGACACGCTAAATTCCCATTAATCAAAAGGGGTTAGCTTCTGAAGGCCTTAATATTAGAAGTAAAGAATAAAAAAATCAGACATACTGAAATAGGGATTGGCATTTTCTAAGTTCTTTCTGACTACTCTGACATTTAAAATTTACTTTGTTTCTTTATTGAAAGAATCATTTCACTGAATATTTAAATGTAATATAGCCTGAATCAGTTAGTGGGTAGGGGATTTGGTTTGTTTTGCTAGTGGCGGTTAGGACCATTGTTTTTTAATGTTTGAGTCTTGTGTGTTAGGTATGGTGAACCGGGAAGTGCTGGAGCAGGTGGAACGAGGATACAGGATGCCCTGCCCTCAAGGCTGCCCAGAATCCCTCCATGAATTGATGAATCTGTGTTGGAAGAAGGACCCTGACGAAAGACCAACATTTGAATATATTCAGTCTTTCCTGGAAGACTACTTCACTGCTACAGAGCCACAGTACCAGCCAGGAGAAAATCTATAATCTAAATAGCCTGTTTTATGGGCACAGGTCTGCCAAAATGTAAAGAATTTATGTAGAGTTCCTCACTTACATTAAGGAATCAAAAGAAGAAAATCTTCACTCTGCATGTTTTTAATGGTAAACTGGAATTCCAGATTCGATTGCACAAAACCACTTTTTTTTTTCCAAGCGTTAAGTACCAATGATGAATTTTCCAACTTATTTCAGGGTCCAAAGAAAGTAGAGCTGAGAATATTGATGACAGCTTAGTTGGTAGCGTGGTAGTGAAGAGCAACAAAGCTACTGTCTATAAATCACTTCTGTTCTTTACTTCCCCAAACAGAATTGTTGAGATTATTTATTGTTATAGACAAAATTTGGGAGATAAAAGTTACACATAAAATCTAAAATTAAGGAACTTTGTGGGACCAAATGATTCCATTCCACTTTTTAAAAATTTCTTGCGTTTATTCTCAAAAGTTTTTTTCCAAATCAGTCAATATGTAATCTTAACATATGCCTCATTTTGCATGGAAATGGGCCAGGTTTTTCAGAAGCAAGAAAGGAATATAAACAGTATCAAAAGAAATTAAATTTAGACCACACCAGTGGATTTCAGAAGTATGATATACTGTGTTCATACTCATGTTTATGGAACTGGAAAATAGAATAAAACATTTTTCACTTTACTCAGTTTCTGAATAGTTCTATTTATAATCATGAAGGTAAGTAGAAAGTAAATCTTTTTAAATTTGTATTGATTTTTTTAAAGGCAGTATATAATTAAAGTCCAAGAGGAAATCTTTTAATCCTTAAATGGCATGAAAGTAAGACCCAGCATTTAAATAGTCCTTTCGAAGAAAAAAAATAGGCTTGGTACTGTGAGCATTGTTGCTAATATGTTGTTATGGTAATGGGTGCCACAAATAGAAAGTACCACTAGATCAGGGACTTGAATGCACTTTTGCTTGTATTGAATAGAGACTAACAGAGAGGGAAATGTATTTAAAAGAAATATGAGAAAAGATAATGTGAAAGTTTTACAGGTGGAGAATGGAATGTAATGTTTAATGTTGATGTCATGGAGTGACAAATGGCTTTGCTGGCACTCAAAGCACCTCCCTTAGCTATTTTCTGAGACTTGAAGAGTTATATAAAGCTAATTTTTCTTAACATATACACTAAATGAGTGTTATATCCTCAAAATAGTGAAGTCAGGGCTTCACACTAATTCCAATGACAAAGCGTTTATGTAAAACATTTTTAGAACTCTAGTGTTCCAATCCATGTTTGAATCTGTATTCACTTTTTTTTTTTTTTTTTTTTTTTTTTTGATAGGCAGAGTGGACAGTGAGAGAGAGACAGAGAGAGAAAGGTCTTCCTTTGCCGTTGGTTCACCCTCCAATGGCCGCCGCTGCAGCCGGCGCACCGCGCTGATCCGATGGCAGGAGCCAGGATCCAGGTGCTTTTCCTGGTCTCCCATGGGGTGCAGGGCCCAAGCACCTGGGCCATCCTCCACTGCACTCCCTGGCCATAGCAGAGAGCTGGCCTGGAAGAGGGGCAACCGGGACAGAATCCGGTGCCCCGACCGGGACTAGAACCCGGTGTGCCGGCGCCACAAGGTGGAGGATTAGCCTATTGAGCCACGGCGCCGGCTTGAATCTGTATTCACTTTTGAAATATACTTAATGGTTATCATTTTTCCCTCTTAAAGTATAGATAATTTGGGAAGGAAAACTTATTCTGTGTAATAACAGTAGTAAAGAGAAGGACAGTTTTTGCCTACTTGAAGTGCAGAGTGAAACACAAAATAAGCTGATTTTTATTTTTATTATAAACTCAAATTCTAAAATACAGATTTGAATAGCAGCATTACTGCTTTAAGTGTCTAGAAGAGGGAAAACTGAACATCATAATTAAAAGTGACATTTTAAAATACTCTTTTATAGCCATACTTTAAATAAAGCAGTATCAGGTTTCCAGGTTTTAGGATATAATATTTAACTACTATCACTTACCTAATTTCATTATTAAATTTCATATTCTGTGCCATGGTATCCATGTTCAAATTCAGGCCATTCTAAAATGTGACAGGTGAACTTCATGCAAGATTTGGCAACAGTTCTGGTACTAAAAATTATGGTTGTTTCTTCTGTTTACGTAACCTGGTTAGTATTGGAGCCCTCTGCCAAGAGGGTCTTCCTAAGAATAGTGCTGTCATTATTTACCCTTAACGTCTACAACCTGTGACATGAGATATTTAAAGGGCTTTATGTGAATTATGATATTGTAACTTTTCTAAGCATTTTTAAAAGGGTAACAAAATTATGTTCATATACTAATTCTGATTAGAAAAATAAGCCAGGAAAAGTTGATGGTATTCTTTAGGTTTTAACTGAATGGAGCAGTGCTTTATAATAACAGATGTATAGTAAGGATAAAACACTAACTTAATGTTGTGTATTCAGTTTAAATTGTTACTTATTTTTAAATTGCTGAGAAAAATAAAGTTTTGTACATTTGGAGATTTTTTTTCCCCAACAGTTTTTTGTCTTAAATGTCTTAATGTGGAACTTAATTAACCCTTACCAAAAAAGGAAGTTGGCAAAATAGCCTTCTAGCACAAACACTTTTTTAAATGAATAATGGTAGCTTAAAACTTAATATTTTTATAAAGTGTTGTAATATTGTTTTGTGAATAATTGAAATAAACATTGTTGAATGCACCTGTTTATCTTTTTAGTTGCTATTCATATTTTCTCGTTACTTTTTTAAAAAATTGGTATATTCTGAATTTATTCTTCCACTAGGGAGAAAAATTGCTCAGTTACTTATAACTTCCAAACAGAGTTAAACCAGTCTTTTATTAAAATCCAACCATTTTGAACTCATTCTAGTTAATTTTCCATGTCAGGTGAGTAATATTATTTTTACAAATATTTTTTCAAAATTATACTAGCAAATACAGTTAATGTAAAGAGACCTAAGTCATTGGAGTGGATATATTCAGAGTATTACTGTGAAGGATATAGAGTAACCACTTCTGACCATAAGAGGCTTAATTTTCTAAAAATAAAAATGTGAGATTTATATCATTACGTTTCAAAATTTTTATTATAGATATTAAAATTATACTAAATTTTGAATGACCAATCAAAAGCATTCATTTTTCAATACAATGATAGTGTTTAATTACCTTTTACTGTTATGCCATCTAAAATTATTACTGGCTTTTTCCCTGATTCCACAAAAATAACATTTAATCAATATAAGCACTTCATTTATTAAACATTTATTGAGTATTTTTGGTAACATAGTAATACTTATTCAGTTTCTAGTTTGCTTCTTATTTACATTTGGCAATTTTTTTTACATTTATGTTCATTTGGCATGTGTTTTTATATTTAAGTTGTACATTTATGATTTATCAAATCTTTTTTGTGCTAAGACAATTCTTACAGCCCCCCAAGATTAAATATTCATCTGTATTATAGGTTATGCTTTTTGCTTTAACAATTCACGTGGAAGTTGAGCATAAACCATCACTTAATGGGTCCAGTGTGAATCTGTGCCACTCTGAGACTCTGCCAGCAAGAGAGCTTCACCAGACCTAGATGCTGAACCCGTGCCCAATCTGACACTGTGACCCTCAGAACCATCAGCCACAATAAGTTACTCCCCTTCTTGAAGGTGGACTGTTCCAGATATTTTGTTATAAGTGACAAAAAGTTGACTTGGGGCCAACGCTACGGTGCTTCTGGTGCTGGCATCCCATAAGGGTGCTGGTTCCTGTCCTGGCTGCTCTTCTGATCCAGATCTCTGTTTAGGGCCTGGAAAAGCAGTGGAGGATGGCCCAGGTGCTTGGGCCCCTGCCTCCAAGAGGGAGACCTGGAAGAAGCTTCAGATCCTGACTTCAGATTGGCCCAGCTTCAGCATGGCGGCCATTTAGGGAGTGAACCAGTGAATGGTAGACCACTCCCTGTATCTCCTCTCTAACTCTTTCTCTCAAATAAATACATAAAATCTTAGAAAAGCTAATACAATTATGCACACAATTATACAAATGTTTTGTCATTTCTTCCATCAACATAACTATATTATTAATCACTATCCCTTGATAGTGCACCTTAATCAACAAGGCAGATTCTCTTTAGTAGTCCTTTTCTCTTTAAGATTCATATCCTGACAAGTTATTTTTTTAATTTTTATTTGAAAGGTAGAGATGAATCTGCATCTGTTAATTTACTCTCCAAATGCCCACTATAGCTGGGGATGGTCCACACTGAAGCCTGGAGCCATGTCCTCAATCCGGGTTTCCTCTATGGGGTGATAGGCCCAAGTACTTGAGGACCTGCTTCCTCCCAAGGTATGCATTAGCAGGAATCTGGGATCAGGAGCAGAGCCAGGACTTGAACCCAGGTACTCAGATAAGTGATGTGGGTGTCCCAAGCAATATCTTAATTGCTGTGTCAAACTTGCCCACCACATGTCAATTTTTTGATGAATTGCAGACTTATATAGTTGAAAAAAATCTCAAGTAAGATTTTGGTTGAGATTGCATTATGCTTATGAACTAATCTGGTAAAAATTGGCATCTCAGATCAGTCTTACCATCCCATTTATGCAAATCTTTACTTAGATCTCAAAGTTCTTCAAGCTTTCTGTTTGGAGTTGGAAGTCTCATGCTGAGTGTGATCACGTTTCTCTATGAATACATTCCATTGCTGCTGGAGTCCAACTTGCAGAGAAGAGAAACAAGAATGTGCTCCAATAGCATTATTTCCTTAAAAATCAGCTCTTCTACCCTTCCTCTTATTTGACTCTATTTTTTTTGCTTACAGTACATACATGAGTTTTTGTCACTGGCAACCAGAGTCCTGGTTAATTAATACCCAAAATGTTAATAAAGGAATACTTATGAGCAAAGTAGACAACTCATGCTTAATATCATGCATGCATTTGCCCTCCACACCCAGACTCTGCGTCATTTCTGTTGGAAGGCTGACCTGTACGTATCAGGGAGTTCCCTTCTCTGGGTTCCTGTTGTGTCCAGCCACTGAACAGCTCTAGCAAAAGATTGAAGGAAACCAGGAAGAGAGGCTAGGTACTTAACTTCTTTGGCTTCTTCCCTGTAAGTTTGAGCTGGCTATGGTTTCACCAACCAAAGTTGTTGTTGTTGTTGTTGTTTTTATAGGCAGAGTGGACAGTGAGAGACAGAAAAAGGTCTTCCTTTGCCGTTGGTTCACCCTCCAGTGGCCGCCGTGGCCGGCACACCGCACTGATCCAAAGGCAGGAGCCAGGTGCTTCTCCTGGTCTCCCGTGGGGTGCAGGGCCCAAGCACTTGGGCCATCCTCCACTGCACACCCGGGCCATAGCAGAGAGCTGGCCAGGAAGAGGGGCAACCGGGACAGAATCTGGCGGCCCGACCAGGACTAGAACCCCGTGTGCCGGCGCTGCTAGGTGGAGGATTAGCCTAGTGAGCCGCGGCGCCGGCATCGAAGTTCTCAATATGGCCTCCCCCACGTTTTCTTTCCTTTGGGGTCTGGTAACTGCTCCCATTCTGTATCTGCTGGCTTCAGATGGTGACAGTTTTTGATGGCCACTAATTGTAGGTAACTGCACTAATCCTTGTGGTTCCCCTACCCTGTCCACTCCTTTGTAAATACCTTTCATTTATCTTGAGTATGCTGTTTCCATTTGGGATCCTGACATACCATAATACCAACAAATCTCAGGGAAATTGGTAAACAATATCTGCTAAAATTCATTAATACAGGGTATTTCATAAGCTGTCACACCCCAATTCAATAATGAGTGTTACTAGGCTAATCCTCCGCCTTGCGGCGCCGGCATACCAGGTTCTAGTCCCATTCGGGGCACCGGATTCTGTCCCGGTTGCCCCTCTTCCAGGCTAGCTCTCTGCTGTGGCCAGGGAAGTGCAGTGGGGGATGGCCCAAGTACTTGGGCCCTGCACCCCGTGGGAGACCAGGATAAGTACCTGGCTCCTGGCTTCGGATCAGCCACGCGGCGGCCATTGGAGGGTGAACCAACGGCAAAAGGAAGACCTTTCTCTCTCTCTCTCTCTCTCTCTCTCTCTGCACTCTGCCTGTCAAAAAAAAGAATGAGTGTTAGTATGAGTTACTGAATAAATGAACAGGAATGAGAGGTGGGAGTCCTAAGAGGAAATTGAATGGAAAAGGGATTCAGAAATTTAACATAGGCCGGCGCCATGGCTCACTAGGCTAAGCCTCCGCCTTGCGGCGCCGGCACACCAGATTCTGTCCCGGTTGCCCCTCTTCCAGGCCAGCTCTCTGCTATGGCCCGGGTGTGCAGTGGAGGATGGCCCAAGTACTTGGGCCCTGCACCCCATGGGAAACCAGGAGAAGCACCTGGCTCCTGCCTTCGGATCAGCGTGATGCACCGGCCGCAGCGCGCTGGCCGCTGTGGCCATTGGAGGGTGAACCAACGGCAAAAGGAAGACCTTTCTCTCTGTCTCTCTTTCACTGTCCACTCTGCCTGTTAAAAATGAAGAAAGAGAGAGAGAGGAAGGGAGGGGAGGGGAGGGGAGGGGGAAAGAAAAGAAAAAAGAAAAGAAAAGAAAAGAAAAAAGAAAATTTAACATAACCTGGGAAAAGCAGAGAAAGATGGCCCAAGCCCAAGTACTTGGGCTCCTGCACCTACTGAGGAGACTTGGATGAAGCCGCTGCCCTTGGCTTGCTTTCTCTTTCTGTCTTCCACTCTGCCTTTCAAATAAATTTTTTTTTTTTTTTTAAGCAACAGTTACACACTGTGCCACTGTTGTGCAGCTGGCTAAGCCTCTGCTTGTGATGCTGGTACTCCCCGTCCCCATCAGAATGCCAGTTCAAGTACCAGTTGCTCTGTTTCCTACCCAGCTTCCTGCTAATGTACATGGGGAGATAGTGGAAAATGGGTTAAATGCTTGGGCCCCTGCCACCCACATGGGAGACCCAGATAGAGTTCCTGACTCCCAGCTTCAGCCTGGACCATCCCTGTTTGTTGTGACTGTTGTGACCATTTGGAGAGTGAACCAGTGGATGGAAGATATTTCACCTCCTGTGTGTGCGTTTTGCACTGCAATTAAATAAGTGAATCTTTAAAAGTTACAGCCATGGGTCAGTGGTGTTTAGGGAAATAGGGGATTGGGATAGTGGCCAAAAGTAATTACAAGGTACAAAAAAGATAAGGTTGGATTTCCCGCCTAGTTTACATGCAGTCCCAGAACTAAATTTGGGGACTAGGAGAAAAGTAAGTGCACTAAGTACTTCCAGAGAAATTTGGGGAGAGACTGATTTCCCACATACATAGAGGGGTTCAGTCTAGCTTTCCACATAGGTGGGAGAGGATCAGGTTAACCTTGAGCAAGCTGGAAAACTCTGAGATTCCAAAGTAAGAAATTGTCTTTAACCTAAGTGATAATAGGAGTGAGAAAAAACTCCACGGTTGGCCAGAAGGATTGATGATAACGCTAACAACTGAATTTAAAGTATTGTGCCCCTTGGAGCTGGCACTAGGATAGCAGGTAAAGTTGCTGCTGTGATGAATGCCTGTTCAAGTCCCATTGTCTCCACTCCTTGCTAGTAGCCTGGGAAAAGCAGCAGAAGATGGACCAAGTGCTTGGGCCCCTGTACCCACATGGGAGACCCATTAGAAGCTACTGGCTCCTGGCTCCTGGCTCCTGGCTTCAGCCTGGCCAAGCACTGGCTGT